TCGCGGCAGCAGAAGCCTCCTCCTGCCAAACCGAGGAGGAAGGGTCTGTGTTTCTAATTTATTCTGCCCCCCTCCAGTTGTTACTTAAAATAATCCATCATTACATAGCTGGTGGCTCCAAGATTTTTATTTAAAGCAAGATGGGAGAAAAAAAGAAGAAAAATCCATGACTGTGCTATCTGGATTTAAGCTAAGAATCGTTTTAACATCAAGAGTCTTCAAAGCACCCACGTATATTCTCCTCTGACCTCCAAGAGTGTGCTGGGGGAGGGGGGCAGGTGCAGTGAAAGAGGGAGAAGAGAGGACATGGCAGGATTTTTATTTCTTAGAAACATCATGAAAAGACCAGAGGTTGTTTGTTTGTTTGTTTTTAATGAATCTGTGTCATCTGGTAGGTGTTTCGTTGTTTTATCCACTGACTAGCAATAACACTTTGGACTTAAGTCCTTGATCTCCATGTACCCATAAAATGAAGAGGACAATAATACGTTACACTTATCCATGGTATTCGTTTGCTTTGCTTTTCTCTCTTTCTTTCTTGAGTGCAGTTTTAATGTTCATGCAGTAGATACCCTTCTCCATTGTTCATGCTAACACGGAACCCCAGCTCTGATAATCCAGGAGGCCAGGCAAGTCCAGAAATCAGTCCTATTTCACTCTAGAATACCTTTTTCCAGAGTACTTAGCTTCCTAATAACTTTTGCTCTGGCTAATGAAAACTTTGCAGCAGAAACTACACAATGTAAATGCTATGCACATGACAGCAGGTCAAAATCTCATTGTACTTTATAGACAAATCGCTCAGCTCTAATGCAGTTTTGGAGTAAGAACACCGCTAACACACATTTCCGGGATTCAGAATAGGAAAAGGAAACGGGCTTATTCCTGCCTCTCATCTGGAAGCTTGGAGAGAGCAGCATCCTATTTGCCTTGGCCACACTAGATCCCAGCACCTGGCACAGGGCCTGGCAGAGTCGCTGCCCAATAAATACACACATTGAAAAAATGAATGAAAATAAAAGTGTGTGAATTAACAAAGGAAATGTTCCCAGCCCAGTAGCAGAAGTGAGATCTCACCCATCTTCACACCTACCCTTTTCCTAGTTGAAGCCCTCAGGAAGCCTTTCCTGTCACACACCACCACTGCTGGATTAGGTCCCCTTGTAATGGATTCTCATGGCAGACAGCAGCTCTCCTGTACAGAACTTACCACATGGTAATTATATACTTCCTGGTGTCTGCCTCTGCTACCAGACTGTAAATTTCCTGAGGGAAGGGGCCATGTGCATTTTGAAAGGGGTGTGCACTGTAATCCCCCCTACTTTTTATTTTGAAAAGTCTTAAACATACAGAAAATTTGTGAAATAGTACAATGATCAGGCATATACTCTTGACTTAGATTTAAAAAGTTGAATATTTGGGACCATGTAAATTTTTTTTCAGTGCTATATCCCCAGGAGAGGTATGGGTGAATATTGGAGTTTGCTCCCCCTGTTTATATTTTTAGTGTGAAGTGGTGGAGATGGTTGAGGCAGGGAGCTTCAAGGGGAATCAAGGGGAAGTGCCATTTGATAGCAAGCCCAGAGTGCAGCCACCTGTAGACAGTTGCCCTAAGGCACTTGTTCCAGGCCAACCCCAGCTAGGGCAAAGTTCGCCCCTGCAAGCTCTTTCATTGGGAGAAAGATCATTACCTGGCTGCTACTGGTAGAAAGCATCATTTCCCACATTTTGGATTGTTTCAAGCCAGAATCAAGGTTCTTTCTATGGGCCAGCACTTACAGTCTACAACTCAAAATGCAACACTGAAAGAAAGAGCTCAAGAGCCAGGAAATGCAGCCTCTGGGGCCTGCACTGTGCCCAGCTAGGTTACCTTGAACAAGTCATGCATTCTTTCAGAGTATCTACACTAATAAAAGGGTAATATGCTAATTAGATCAGACATCTTCCGGATGTCCTTCTGGACAAAGCCACAGTGGTGGGGGCTGAGGCAGAGGTGGTTAGTGGCAATCAGGCTGGCAGGGGAGAGCAGTCAGGGGGGCGATCAGGCTGGCAGGGGAGCAGTTAGGGGGTGATCAGGCTGGCAGGCAGAGGCAGTTAGGGGTGATCTGGCAGGCAGGGGAGCAGTTAGGGGCATCAGGCCGGTAGGCAGAGGTGACGAATTTTGTACATCGGGCCTCTAGTGTATATATTAATAGCAGCCAAGCCACCTCACAGATAGGGGTTGGGGGTAGAGACATCCCAAAAATCTGCTGTAGTTTCCTAACTATTTTGCCCACAATTTGTCTCCCCAACTAGACTGTAAGTTTAAAAGCCAATAACTTTATCCACTACTTTTTTTTGTATAGTTGACCAGGGCTAGCCATCATGTGGGACACTTAGCAGTCAATCAAATAAACACTTGTGTTCACAACAGAGAAATCGCTTTGTCATGCAGAATCTTTGTAGTGTCCATTCAAATGGGATGGGATTGTACTATGTACAGGAGAACTGAACTTGCAAGTTGCATGTATGCCCAAATAAGGGCCCTACCCAACAACTCTAGGGCCTGTTTTAGTCTAGCCAGAGTGACCCTCAACTGACTCTGGAAAGAACACACAAACACACACACACACATACCAGAGGACTACTTGCATGGCGCCTTGTCTCAGAGCTCACTAAACAGAACTCTTAAGCCAGGCATACTCAGGTTTATTCTCCAGTCTTCTCTTCCCAACCCCTGGATACATGTTCCCTGGAAGAAACAAACTGCAACCAGAAGGCCAAGGTCTCCTGAGTTAATTCCATCTTCCCCTGGTGAATTACAACTTCTTGCAGTCACAAAGGAGAGCAGAGAGACAAATGACACATTAAACAAGAGCTTCATTGGCTGGGGGAGGGGGACCTGGAGAGTGACGTCAGTTTTCCCAGAAACCCATTTATCACGATAACAAGGTCTCAAGTGCTCTGCTGCTCTTTGAGCTTCAGAATCTGGCGTACAATTATGTTCTTCATCATACAGTACAGCAAGGATAGCCAGAGCAAACTGTAACCATGCAAAGCAAACTAAGTGGCCTTAAACCACTCCACCCCCATCTGCAGAACAAAGGGATGCCTGGGTTGCTGGAGTTGTGCCTGAGGTGAAACACAACCTTCTATCTAGAATGTTCCCCTTTGCAACATCTGCCCTGCAGTCCTAATCCAGGCAAAAGGACTGGTGAAAGCTTACAGACAGGTCAATGCAAATTAATTAGCTGGCAAGAAAAATCATTAGCATCCTTTTTGGTCACTAAGGATGGGACAAATGTAATCCAGGAGACTAGTTCTTCTATTAAGTCATGCTATGTCTAAAATGCAGGTAATGAGAAGAAAAGCACTCTGGGAACCCTCAAAACACTAAAGTAATAGATATCACAGCGCTAATCTTGGGAGATTAGCTAAAATTGAGAGAACTCTCTCAATTTCCATTATCCCAGCGCATCCTATCTACTGAGTCCTTCCACATCGTGACTATATAAAAAGCTCCATCTGGGGTCTGCAGGAGTTGAGGGAGGTTTCAAAGAAATCACTCTGCCCTTCCAAACAGGGACAAGAGGGTGGAATAAATTCATACATATCCTGTAGAGAAAACACTTGGATTCTGGATTCAGATTTTGAAAACAACTATACCAAATACCTTAGAGGCTTTTTATTGCCCTGGAATTGTATTGCACAGACCATTTCCCTTAATAAGTAAACACAAGGTTTTAAAATATGTGTGTGTGCGCGTGTGTGTTTTGAGATTTTCATCAAGTAGAATTTGGTGTCATGGGATTTGACCTACCTCTATTTCACTCTCCTTCCTGGCCTCAGGGTGCTGGTAATTGTGGGCTTCTGAAAATTCCAGAAACCCGTGGAGGAATAGAAAGGCTAGGTTGTTCACCCAAATGGAATCATCCCCTCCCTTTGCAACCAAACTTCTGATCTAAAAAAACCAACATGGGGCCTCGGGTCACTTCAATATGATTTCTGTGTACACCTCGGGCTAGAAAACTTCAGTTCTTTAAATGAAGATTTCCGCGCCCCCCCCCTCCAGTCTCTTGCCAACAAAGAGAGGGCACCATGTTTGCAAACCTCACAGTTATTTTCCTGAGTTCCCATAGAAAGAAGCCAGCTCCACAGACTTTGGTGCTCAAGCCCAGTTACACAGAACACGCACCACTACACACCCCCAGAGGCCGCACAACCTGGGTCAGGTGCTCAGAACGCTGCCAAAATACGCAGCCAGCCACCTACAGGCCAGTGGACTGCACCCCACACAGAGGCACAAATGGGACCCAGAGACACACAGCACAAGCAGAGAGGCGTCTGAACACTCACCCTGAAGGTGAGCACACTCAAGACAAACTGGCGGACTCATCTAGGGTCAGAGAGCAGCGGGGCGCCGCCGCCCGCCGGGGAGGCACGAGTGCGCGCGCGTGCACTCAGACGCACACAGTGCTCCACACTCACAGACGCAGTCACATATGTAATGCATATGG